TGTGCTCGGTCCCCGGTCTGTGCTCTGTCCCCGCCGCCCAGCACGGTGAGAACCCCGGGCCTGGCCCGCTGCCCCCGCCCCGGCGCTGCTGCCCGCTTGCTCGCTTTGCAGATGCCTGAGGAAGTGCGGCACGAGGAGGAGGAGGCGGAGCCCTTCGCCTGCCAGGCGGAGATCGCCCAGCTCATGTCCCTCATCATCAACACCTTCTACTCCAACAAGGAGATCTTCCTGCGGGAGCGCATCTCCAATGCCTCCGACGTGAGCCCGGGCCACTGGGGTGGCCTTCTGCTGGGTGGGGGGCTCAGAGGGCTGTTCTGCACAGGGGGCTGAGGCTGGGGCCTGGGTGGCCTGTGAGGCTTATGCTGGGGGAGTGAGCATCACCTTCTCCCTTAGGTGCTGGATAAGATACGCTGTGAGAGCCTGACTGACCCCTCAAAGCTAGACAGTGGTAAGGACCTCAAGATTGACATAGTCCCCAACCCCCGGGACCACACACTCACCCTAGTGGATACTGGCATTGGGATGACAAAAAAGTGGACCTCATCCACAACCTGGGTACTATTGCCAAGGCTGGTACCAAAGCCTTCGTGGAAGCCCTACAGGTGAGCTGCCTTTGGCTGTGTGGGTTCCCCAGGGCCTTGGCCATGAGCTTTCACTGGGGTGTAACCCTCAACCTGCTCCTTTTTTTGGCTGTGAGAGCTGTTGGCCTACTCAAGTGTGCTTCCCCACCTTTCCAGCAGCAGGGAGGAGCTGAGGGTAGGGCTGGTTGCCTGTTGGCACTTGCTTGTTTTTCTCTGTGTGCTGACCCAGGTCTTTGCTGCTGTGAATCCATCGCAGGCGTCTGCTGTCTCTTCACTGGTCTGTCACACTTCCTTTGCTTTCACAGGCTGGCGCAGACATCTCCACGATCGGGCAGTTTGGTGTGGGTTTCTATTCTGCTTATCTAGTGGCTGAGAAGGTGCTTGTCATTACCAAACACAATGATGATGAGCAGTATGCTTGGGAGTCATCAGCTGGGGGCTCCTTCACTGTCCA